GACGACCTGCGCAAGTCACTGTAAGTTTTACTCTGGCCTCCACCTAATGTACCAGCAACGTTCTCAGTCTCAGGAGCCCTCTCTACTCTCTCCAGGGAACTGCAAGACAGGATCCATAGCAGAAAGCATCTGCTGATACTACTTTCAGGTTTGGTAGTCTGCCACCACTGGAAGTAAACAAGATCTGGACTCTAGTCCCAGCAGGCTCAGTTCCTGTTTGCCTACTGTTAAATGCATATTCCATTAGAGCTCTGCTACTGAGTCCAGACTCTATATAGACACTGTCCACACCTCAAAGACTATTCTCTCACCTGGAAAATACCATTAAAAATAATACTAATGAAAGAGGTGAGCATTAAATCTCAGGCTTATTAATAAATCAAGTTTCTGAAATTTGTTGTTAAATTAAATTGTAAAAAATGTTGTTTGGTTTGTTATTAGTTACTTTGCAATTAACCTTCTTGACAGTAGCATTAGAGAGCAAACAGATCCTCTTAATCATTTAAGATCTTCATTTATAGATTCTAGTTTTATCTTGAACTCTGTTATGCATTGCTTACCTCCATTATTTTGTCAATAAGATATTCACAATTACATTCAAAGTTCCATAAAACAGCTTTTAGAAACATTTGGTGAAGAAATCATGCAATAATTTCCAAATCTAGTATTCTAACCTGAAACACAAACTTGTTTATCAGGAAGTACAAAACAAAACAGAGAAAGTAATTTATCACATGAAACCACTTGATCTAAAACTACTGAAGTAAAAAATCTGAATCCAACAGCTGTTTAAAATATATTACTGATTAAAAAAATATATATCATGATGGACTTAGTATTTGCACCATCTGTTTTTAATATATTGAATCCCTTTGAGATTTTGGAGGAGTTGCCTAATTTGCAGAAGTTCAATACAGACAAGATCTGCAAAAAAGCAATTTCTTTTTCCAACACCGCATTACCCTTTTTATGACCCAAAAAGTGCACAAATGGATAGGAAAAAATAAAGTTTTCAAAAATTATCTTAGAATGAAGTCATTATTCTACTATCTGATCAACAGTAACTCCCAAAGACTATGTTCTGCTCAGAAAGTTACTTTTATTAAAAGAGAAGAAAAATAGGAGCAAGATTTTCATCGTTGCATGTGATTGCAGCAAAAATGCCCTATAATTATGGAAAACAGTACATAGGAATACAGAATTTGGCTTCACTAGATCAGAAGTCTAAGAAAGATAATGTTCTGTCTCTAGAAATTGACTGTGCCTTATGCTCTAAAGACTGATGAAGGAAAAACATAACTTGCCCGAACACACAAAAAGGAATAGAAACTATACTTTCCAAACCTTGTGGTTGTCAGCCTGTACCTTTCAGCATTAAGTGCCCCTATTAGTACTTACATGTCAGGCTGGAATTATGAACTTTATTGATGATTAGTTAGTTACTAAGCTACTTAGCACACAATACATCATCATGTTTCAATAATTTTAAGAATATCTGAGGTGCATTAAATCAATTAACTCTTGATATTGATTTAAATTTACACCAAAAATTTGTTCTTTCAAAAGAAAAGATTTTATAATTGTACTTTTTATGACAGTCATGTCTTTTTAGACAGTTTTCAGCCCCGTGGCAGTGTTTTATACTTTCAGATTATGAAGGTATGTAGTTGTAATATAATACATTAATATATCAAATACAAGCTGCATTTCAACCAGCTGAATGATATGGATATGCTATAGACCTATGCTATACCACATCTACATATATTTTCTATACAGGAAAAACAGCATGGGTGCGTAAGTTGTCTGTAACAGGTTAATGAAATCTTTTAGCTTATTAAACATAAAATTCAACCTTTTAATTGTCTCCATAAGAGTATGCTTTCAAGTTGAGCATAGCTCTTCAGCAGATCCTCCTAGTATGATGTCTTTGGCAAGGTCTAACAAAAATCTTTAGTTAAAAATTTGTCAGGTTTTCAAGATACAAAAAGCAACAAAGATCCACACTGACTTTCTCTACTGATTTTCTTATCTTTAAAGTCTAATTTAGAACAGCTCCTACTAGCTTCATATAAATAGTTATTTATTGTGAAATATACATACTCAAATAAAGAGTTAAGTCAGAATGCTTTGGAATTACCAAGGCAAGAAACTAGAAACAAATGTAGTGAATAGTTACTTGTATGGAGGTTAAGAGGAGTTTGGGGATATTCTAAATTAATACAGTACAGTGATTGCAAATTTCCATTTGTCCGCTATAAGCTTCAGTAGCCTTCAATGAAAATCACTGAGCTACATTCGATCTATTTGAACTATTTCACAATCTACAAAACAAAGGTTGTAGATGCAAGTAGTGTCCTTGCATGAAGTAAGACAGCCTATGAAAACTGCTTCTTGCAGTTCAGCTTTCCTTATCATGCATTCATCAACTGGCATCTCCCTCTTGCAGCTTAAAAGGTTGAAATACATAGCATAAGCCTGGCACTTACAATCTTGAACATGTGTTTAGGCACTCTACAAGGGAGATTTGATGCTCTGCGCAGGTCTTACTGTGTGTTTTAACATGCACATTTTGTGGGTAGATTTTCTGATTTTGCTTCTCATAAACTAACAGCAATCTTCACACTGTTTAGTTTACCCTTTTTGTTTTGCACCACCACAGACCTCCACTAGGTCATTACTGTTAACTTGGTCACAAACGACTTAAACTTGCAAATGAAGAGTTTGCAAAAGCATCAATTATAAATATCTCAAATATATCAAAATAAATACACAAAAATAGTTGAGATGATTGATAAAACAAGGAGTTCCTTCTAGGTAGTGTCTCTTCACAGGCTCACAGATCGTCAGTTTATATTGAATTTGAAATAACCATGAGCTTAATAGACAGAATACAGTATCATGAAGATTTTTCTTAAAACTAAATATGTAAGTTGTACACACTGTTTTAAATGGCAGCAGACTCAGCTGTCCATTAGTTTCAAACTGAAGTTAGCAGTTGTAACTTGCTTAAACTTTCCCAAATCTTACTGCTCAAAATGGACTGATTTGATAAGCAGGTTATGCAGCTTTAAATTTTAATCTATTTTTCAAGTTATTTTACTTCTTTGTAGAAAATATTAATTTTTAGCTAAGGACCCATTTAATTTGAGAACCATTTTTAGTTATTAATTTCTCATATTAACATGGTACTCCATTTGACATATAAACCTGACAGAACCTAGAGAGATGTAATTTGACATTTAAAGAGACACCCCGCTTCCCCTAGGTTTAACTTTGCTGTAATACAAACCCCATTATTATGGGCTGCTGTCTAAGAAATCTAATGAATATCTGTTCCAATATTTTACTGCTAACTGGACCACTTCCAAACTCGACTCACAAAGATGTATTTACCTCATGCATCTCACTTTGTAAAGTCAAGAGCTAGACCAAAGATTTGTTTTGTTCTTACTCAGATTACAAAAAAGAACAGTAAGGAATACATGATTATATTTGGTTACTTCCCACAAGAACAAAAAAGGGAAAGCAAGGTGATTAAACAAAAAGGCTTGAAGTGGGGGACCTAAGCTTTAGAGCACAGATTCAACAATCTGACAGACTTGTGCAGTCATTTCAGATGACACTGCCAGGTATAATATGAAATACAGCCTAAATTTTCAGCACCAATTCTGGTGGCAAAGCTTTTGTTGTCTTTCTTCCAGAGACACCATGTAGGTGCTAATTCTTTCTTTAAGACAAAGCCCCCTGAAAGACCTTGAAGCTGGTCACCTGAAAGACCACACATTCTGAATTACCATTTACATTTGATAATTTTGCCCAGATTTAGCAAATGGAAGTTAGAACAGCTGTTTGTAAACTGGAAGTAATCTTATTTATTCAGATTTATACACACACACAAAACCCACTACACCTATCCATGTGTTACAGACCGTTTGAATATTTGAAAAATCAAACATTCAAGGCCCATAAATAGCTGAAGTTTAACTGTGTAACAAAACAACTATCCAGCAACTATGGAAACTGAGCAACACAGTAAAAAAATAAAGAATTTTCAAAGGATTTCCAAATTCCAAAGGGAAGAGATTATTTTCTCCCTGTGCCAGAAGTGTACCACATGAAGAATACAGCAGTTAATCTGAGACATGGCTGAAGCAGAAAAGTCCCATTCAAAGTACTATATTCAAAAGTCCTAACATCCTGAAGAACATATTTCTAAGCTTTATTCTCATACTCTCATACTAGATTTTGGTAGCCTTTTAAACATCCCTTCTGATCTTATCTCTGCTGCTTTAACAGTATCAACTTTTTAGGCCGATACATAATCGGTAACTGCTATACAAGCCAATACCAATACTTTATGGCATCTCCCAAAATCTCACAGACAGCATGGATCAAGGAATACAAGCTGAATTTGTAATTTTTTTAAATAACTTATTGCATTAATGTTTTCAGTCATTCTAATTATGTTTTTGAACTGCTCAAGCATCTGGCCAAATTCAAAAGGAGAAAAGATAGCTACAAAATCCTAGACATTTTAGGAAGGACCTCATAATTTTTAGACCTGTCAGGATTCATTATTTACATGGTTGTAACCTTACCCCTATGCTATTTAAATTATCTTTTTTATCTCTACAGTCTTGCCCCAAAAAAGACATGTAGCACTTCGACTATCCTCTGATTCAGTAACTCACAAATACCCTTTGAATTCAGACTGTTTTTAATTTAATTTATCACTAAAATGACCATAAAATTTTTTCATACATAAAATTGAAACTGAAAAGTTATTGTGCTGATGTTGTTTGCATTACAGCAGCTAAACAGGTGGAATATATTTACTACCAAACAAACTTATTGTATCATAAATGCAATCTATTACATCAATAACAGAAATATCATATTCCTTTTAGCATTTTACTTGGGATCTTTTCTGCCAGCTAGGACTTCTAGTTATGAGCTTCATTGTTCCAAGGACAGACCAGTCTTTTCCAGACACTTACCCTCTGACAGCATGAATAAGTCTCAGTGATGGATAGGCAGTTCGCACTTTCAATTTATTCTTAAGGATTAATGCATTAACCCACTCCACGTGCTTCTCTCCACCTTTGACCATGAAAGCAGGAATCCAAAGGACACTCTCATTCAGCATGGATAGTCTATGCACAAATTTTTCTCTGTCACTCTCATTCCGAAAGCCTCCAAATGCTCTTTGTACAACTGATGGGTTCATGGTAATAAAATCAGATTTAGTTCCCACATCGGCAGCAAACTCCACCACAGGAGCTAGATTGCACCTGAAGAGGAAAAAGTTAATGGAGAAACTAAAATAAGTATGAAACACTAACTCAGAAGAAAATGTGCATGAAAGGAAAGCTGAAAATAAACATGCAGGCCCATTTCAATTTAACATGAGAAAAATATACCAGTGATCTTATCCATTATTATATCAGCATTTTATCCAACATGGACACTCATTCAATATGCTTTTTTAAAGCACTGAGTGTACCTAATGTTGCGAGGAAAAAAAAAAAAGTGTACATCTGAAAACCATGTTGTCATGCTTCAAAATGCATTAACAGCTTGAGTATCACTTACGTATGAGTATGCTTTCTAACACCTGATACCTTTCCTGAGTGTTCGTTTGTCATCACGTTACCAACAGATTACACTCTTAAAGGAAGCTGTGACTGCCAATTCAGGTAAAATCTATACAAGTTAGTCATTGCCCTTTTCTTTGTTTTGTTTTTACAATACAGTATTTAAATATGATTTTCAAATTAACTTTATCCCATGTTAAATGAGTGTTCAGTGTTTTGGTGTCTAGTATTATCACTGTAGCTGAGTGGATGTTTTGAAATTTATTATTTTCATTTAATTTATATTTTTTTTAAGTATTAATATTTCCATTTTTCCTCCACAACTCATTTCCAAATCTTGTTTAGTTTTGAAGTAGCTTTAAGCTCTTTTCTAGACTTGAGAAAAAGATCTCATCAGGCCTTTGTTCAGCAGATTTTTACTTCAGTCATATAAATACATATATTATTCACACAGAAGCAGCATTCTCCATTGGCAGCATTGGATGCAGGTGACAAAATACAATTCAGAAATTAACTGTGACTTCAGTGACTGGTGTGATCCAAATGAAACAAATCACCTCCAAAACATCCTCAGGGAAATAGCCTGTAGCTGGTATGCCTCATAGAAGTATTCTGACAGAATATTATTTTCACAATTTAACAAACTGTTCTGTTGAGGTGAAGGATTCTAAGAAGCAGTGCCAGAAGTAGGTCCTTCAAAACATTTGCAGATTACTATATTCCTAATATAAGTAGTATTCTATCAGTTCTAAGGCCTGCCTACCTTGAATGCCATTTCTGCTTGATCAGTAGTATACGTAATATTAAATACTGCACAACTTCAGTAAGTAATAAGGAATTCAAATGCACTGAGTAACAATGGGTATTTCTATGAACAGTTATTTAGTGTATCAGTCACATTTTTCAAACCTTACTGTCTCAAGATAGACACCTGATTATAATACTAGAGGTAGGTAAGGCATTTTGCTTTCCACATGCTGAGCACCTCTTAACCTTTGATATTTTAAAAGTTCAGTTATATAAATTCGGAGTAGTAGTGTGCTGAAGTTTGAAATAATGTAATAAATAAATCATGCTCTTTTGAAAGGCTCTGTCCAAAGAAGTAACTAGATGCTGTTACCAGTACACTGCTAAGATTGTTATTTTAGTAGAACATGAAGGCAAGACAAGCTCTACACAAGTTTCTAGCTCCTTAAAGAAAATAAACATTACTAAATCAGTTGTAGTTGACCAAGTTATAAAAATATTACCCTCATTAAGCCCCTTCTCATTTTCTTAGTGATTACTTCCTTCAAAGAAGGATTTGAGTGCTCATTAAATAAGTATATTTACTCCATATTTATCCACGAAGTTGGAAAATGTAAAGCACCTGCTAAACCCCATCAATTAAAATCAGCACATTCTTCAGTAGGGATTAAATGGAGCAGTTATGTCAGAAGTGTTTCCATACGAGTTCAAGAGTTTATGTGATGAACTGTAACACCCTAAACTACTAGTACCAAGTAATTTATATTTACAGAGTAGAGTTCAAGAAAATTTTATAGAAAGGTATCATAAAATCACAGAATAGTTTGAGTTAGAATGGACCTTCAAAGGTCATCTACTCCAACCTGCTGCAATGAGCAGGGACACCTTCCACTAGATCAGATTGCTCAGGTCCAGCTTGACCTTGAATGTTTCCAGGGATGGGGCATCTACCACCTCTCTGGGCAACATGTTTCAGTATTTTACCACCCTCACAGTAAAAAACACCTTCCTTATATAAAGTTTGAATCTCCCCTCTTTTAGTTTAAAACCATTACCACTTGTCCAATTGCAAAAAATTTGCCCCAGCTTTATCATATATTTCAGAGCTAAGAAAACTAGCTATTCTGTATTTGCATATAGACTTGAGTACATGTAAATATTTTTTGTTACCTATCTCAGAGTTTTCACCTTAACCTCTGATGCATTTTTATGCTATGCCACAGATTCACACAGTTGTTGGATTTTTTATGTTTGCTAGCAGACATCAATGATCTCCCATCAATTCTTAGGACCCTTTCAAGAAAACGTCCGAGTCAGAGATACACATGAACACATACTTATTTTCTTCTAAGTCAAACTAAGAAGCCTATTAACTGAACAACTTTGAAATAGGCACTGCAATACTCTCAGCTTGTCATATTCCTTAATTCTAGCTCATTTGTCGTAAGTCACAGAATGCCGAATATATTGACAACAAATGATTAAAAGCTTGCACCACAAGCTTTCCCTTTATGTGCCTAGGAATTTATACACCACAAATGAAATCTTTGGGTTTTTTGGTGTTTTGGTTTTTTGTTGGGTTTTTTTTTTTGTTTGTTTGTTTTGTTTTTAGTTTTGTTTTTGTTTTTTTGAAGGCGGCAATAATATGCAAGTCAACTTAATGCTGCAGTCCCTGTTCTTCCCATGACATCAGCCCAGACCATATCCAAACCTCAGTGCAACTTACTATCAGGCAGCAATTATATTATTTAGGTAATCAGTAAGTTTACAGGGTCACCTAATTTACATATTTGCAGTACCATGATACTGAAAGGCAAATATATATAGAAAACATTCACAGTAAAAATGCCGAGGTTCCCAAAACAAGCTTTCAGTGTGACAGCAGCAGATTTGCAACAAGAACATGCACTGCAATGCCATCACTGAGAAGAGATCTGGGATGAAAGAGAAATATTACTGTATGTCTGAAGCATCACATGGTTTTTGGGTATCTGTAGAATAACTGAGATCCTAAGATATACAGACTTAGTGATTGAAAGTCTGTTTCTTCCACATCTATCTGTTGCGTATACTGGTTACAGTGGGATATACTAAGAAAAATCCGGGGAGAAAAGAACCAAACTGCCAGTGGCTGGAATTGCATGCCATGAGAAAAGACTGAAGAATGGAGTAAGCAGTACTATACCACACTTATATCAAAGTAATCAGCCCTAGGTTTGCTGTGACACCTTTGTGGCCCAAACACATCCATAACATACTTATTCTTTTACATAGCAGAGCTTAACAAAGAAAATAATAAAACCGTATCCACAAAAGTACACTCAAATGATAAGTCAGTTATTCCACAGAGACGCTCAGTTGAACTAGCTTGGTCATTAATAAAACTAATAAATTCCATGTATGCACACAAATGTCCAATATATAATATTCATAGACCATATACTGGTATTTTCATGTTAACTTTAAATAAAACCCATAAAAATTTGCTTGAGTAAAATTGATAACTATTTCTGTTTTATTTGACATCAAGAACTAAAAGAATATTCTTCATACAGTAATAATACAAGAACTGGCCATGAATCTGTACACTTGTTAATACTTTAACAATCTGTGCACTTGAGGTTTATTGGTTGAAATAAATATTTAGAAAACACTCTAAAGCCCAAGCTGCACAAAACTGCTGCAGAAGCATGCCTTGTTTCATTAATATCTCCTCCTTCTGCAAAGCCAAAAACATCCATTGCACAATACTAATCACATACACTCTGAGAAGCCAAAAAATTAAAATTATATTGTTGCTGGAAAACATAATGTTAAACCTCTCCGAAACATAAGGCATTACTTACTTAAACTAGTACCCATAACACACACACTTTCTTGAATAGTCTGCAAGCTTTTATATTCAGGTTCATATCTAGATTCATGTAAGAATCAAAATTGCAACCCTGAATTCAAAGATTCTTGACATTTTAAGAATAAATTGCACCCACTTCTTCAAATAAAGATGTGCAGCAGCACAGCACTGTAGTACCTTTCACATACACATTTACCCCCAAAAAGGAAGATTTACAAAGAAATCCCAGGCACAAACCTCCAATTTCCCCCTGCCGAATCTAATGATTAGTAAAATGTATGGATTCTCACATGTTCTGTATACTTGTCTGGTTCCTGATAGAACTACAATTGTTTGCTGAGCCTTCTGAACTTCTGTCCTTAAATCTCTGCCCACATCACCTACTTAAGAATCAACTTCCCTTAAAAGAAAAGGAAGCTGCACCAAAATTTGAATTATAAATTTTTACAGAGGGTACCCAGTACTGTGGCCCACCAGCCTAAGTAGAGCCAAGTGCTACCTAGTAATTCAGGAAGAGATTGACTTCATAAGAAGACCTCTCTATCAGCTTTCACTCCACTGTGGGCTGCCTGGAGTAGCAGTCATGCAAGGACCCTTCCAGCAGCTGAAGAAGTGGTGAGGTGAAGCCAAAAAGGGAAAACGTAGCCACAAGAAGTCAGGCCTTCTCCAAGGTTCTCCAGAGGTGGAAACCACACATGCCTGCCTTGACAGGAAACTCCAAACAGCTACACTGTGCTCCCCTTTTCTCAGGCACCTAAATGGCTGTGCAAGAACATCTGAAGACAATGGCTTTCTTCTGCTTTCATTTAATGCTTCAATGTAGTGTAATAATTTGTAGGAAGAGACAATAAAAGAGCTGCCACAGTTGAGAGCTGAAACAGGTCTAATAAGCTAGAAATAATATATTCAAATGTTACTTTTTAAGGAAAGAATCATGTTTTAAAATAAGTCTGTTAAATTGGCAACTTCACTTTCAAGGTATCTGCAGGCTCTGCTGGCACAATGGTTATGATCCAAGCAATGTGTATTAAATACTTGGACATAAAAGCTGACACAAATTAGAGAAACAGAAGAAAAGTTCCAGAATATAAGGACATTAATATCCTAAATCTTTTAATTCTGACAAATTTATGATTGTTTTTCTCTATCAGCTAAAGGACCAATACAGAAGAAAGAAGCTGGTACCACTCTTTGCTCATGTGTTACTATTAGTAGAGAAATTTAAATAGTTCTTTTTAAATGAGCCAGCACGGCTCCATGGTATGGTTAGAAGGTTTGTCTTTTCTACTTCCTGAACAGATACCCTGTCTTCTGCTCATATCACAATTGCTTTCCTGCAAAACCAAGACATCAAAGAGGAAGTCAGATTATCTTCCTCTTTGCACAAGATAAAACAACAAATTTATTAAAGGACTACAAGCTTTCTCCATGTCGAATTTACTAACCACAAGAAGTGTCAAGACAAATTAAAAGAAACAAAAGTTGAAGGACACTGGAAAGCTGCATTTGCCCAGCAAAATTTTATCGACAATGATGGCAAAAATATTTAGACTGATTCCTAGGTACTGTCAGTTACCACAAAACCACTGCAACAGGAGAAAGAGTACTAAAGTAGTAACCAGGAACTTCAATCCAAAGAAAGATGTTTCTTGCCCTACCAGTTTTAAGCTAGTAAACAGCTTCACTCAACGAGACTGTCCTCCACATGAAATGAAATGGACTTTTCCAAGAATAGTGTCACCACAAGAAAAAATACAGAACTGCTTACTAGGTTTGGTGGGTTGGTTTGTTTGCCTGTTTGCTTTTTAATCAAATAACTCCAAAACGCTACTTGGCCTCTGCTTTTGAATAGTTACCATCATGAATGTTGAATTCTATTACCTAAACAAAAAAAAAAAAAAAAAATTAAAAATTCTTCTGGTCTTTGGCATTGTTGAAATTCTGAACCCAAAACTGAATTGAATTATTTTTGGTACTCACTGGCTGCCAGAAGTAAATCCAGGAATCTGAAGATTATTACTTAGCAATGTTTAGCATTGTTATTTTACTTTAAAAATAAATACAGTCGTATTTTTCAAGAAACCCTATGTAACCTACTGCATTTCAAAATGTACTACTTACTCTAACAAGTTCATCTCTTCTTGAAGTTTTAACAGCTAATACAGCCCTGGCATGAGAAAGTGTAGGCAGTGGACGCATATGATGTATCACATGTAAATCTTACCGGGACTGAGCAGCATGTACCTGACTGAACAGCTAGAGCAATAGATGAAAAAAGTGCAAAAATCAGCACCTCCAACAGCACTGTGCAATTTATACACCTTAAATGTAATCTCATTATCTCACATTTATACTCTGATTTATTTTATGGAATTAGAGATTTTGGAATGTTTCAGTTCCTTTCTGGGTATAGTACCACAACGCAGCATGCTTTAGCTCATCACTACAAATGTAGTAGAGGTGTGAGAACCAATAGTCACTTAACAGAACATAAAAAGGTAAGAGGTAAAAAGGAAAGGAATATGAGAAACAGGATAGTTAATAGTCAGCACATGGGGTTTTTTTCAATAGCAAAGTCTCCTTTGCTTCTTATTTTAACTAAATGGGTCACATTTTCTATTGTCAATACAGGTATGACTTCACTGAACTTGTGGAACTAATCCATTTTATCCTAACAGATATGTCCCTAGACTCTTGATTTCTGATGCCATGAGAACAAAATAAGGTCTTATGTAATTAAAACCAAGACACTTTAAAATGCTCAGTAAATACAGTAAATCTGCTTATGCTGACAAGATATTACCTTGCTTTCACAAATTACCCTTAATTATGCATTTTCAGGGATGCCTGAAGAAGAATTGCGTTGTTTTACTTGTAAAATTTGCTGACAGAATTATATGTTGACTTGCAGGCATGCTTATTATTTCACTCTAGTTTAGGTGTCTATTTTTAAACATTTTTTGTAATAGATGTATTCTAATTATCTGGTGTCTCTGCTTGATCTTGATTAAATGTTCTTTGACAGACATTGTTATATAGAAGGCACTGAATAGGCTGGAATGTATAAAAGGTAGATAGACAGTTACGAGAACTGTGGATTACTTTCATAGACATTGACAGACACAATCAAATGAATTACTTTAAGTGCTGAGTAGTGACAATCTTCTTCACCCTTAATAAAGCATATATTCTGTGTCTTTATCAGTCATTGCTAACATCTTCATACCACTTTATAGGAGCATTAAGATTCAGGATATTGAGTCTATTGTACTGTACTGCACATACTGCTGGATGCCTGTTCTGTCCTCTTCACTTTCTCAGATGTTCCCTATCAGTTTACTCATTCAATTAATGGTATTATTGGTGTTGGAACTAACATTAGAACTACTGCTTTAAGAAACACCTCTCAAAACCACACTCTTTTGTTTCAGATCTCAAAAAGAACATACAGTACTATTAAAATCAACTGATGATAGATTTAACCAAAACAGTATGACATACTTGTCACAGCACACAGGCATAATGCACTCGGCACCAGGAGATTCTACAAAGATGTTGTTCATCTAGCTGCATACAGTACATACAGCAACTGCTTTTCAGAACAACATCAGGTGGTGAGTAGAATGAGTGCATTTTACTTCTAGAGAAATCAGCCAAAAGCAAAAAGAATAACAGTGTCATGGTACAATTTGATACCATAATCCTAATATCATACAGTTTAACCTATGAGATCATCTGTGAATTTCTAAAATATTTTAACTTTGATTTGTAAATCCAAAAATTTCACTGTATTAAAATTCTCTATGGGCCACAGTGTCAAGAACTCTGTTCCTTACCCCCCCAAGTTTATTATCCACAGTATCATTAGCCTAGTAATTCTGATCATTTCACTAGTCACACCCCATATGAGATATTTCTCCAGTCTAAATAACTGATCAGCAACAGTAGCTCCCCAATGTTCCTATTAAGCTTCACCGTTCTTTTATTCACACACTAATCTTTAAGAATATCTTTACTCCACATGACTTGAATTAGTTAAGATCCCCTATCAGATACCACCACCTAGCTTCATGGCTAGTTAAAATATGAGGAAGAGCATGGAGATGACTTCAAAGAAATTCAGCACATGACTTGAGTAAAAACATGTTTCTTGCCTTCTGAAAGAAAATTTTCATCTGGAAAATCTAGTATCTAAATTTTTCTGTAGTCCAGTTAAATGAATCACATTTAATCTCTGAAAGCGTATAAAGCATGTCATAGGCCAAACGTGGTTTAAAAATGTGGTATGCATTTGGGGATTTCTTCTGCAATTTTAAAAGACTAGTGGTACAAGCAAAACAAGTAAGAAAAATGAAAGAGTAATGTGTTATTGTTTCATTTGCCACTTGCTAGTACATCTTTCAAATGAAATGCAACTTTTATGAGTATATCCTGTTTTGATTTATATACTGAAAAACTATTATTTTTCTTTTATGTAGCCTTTTGTTACTTTTTTTTGCCACCATCCTCCTTCAAGGTGAGAAAAGAAAAAGCAAATTACTCGCAATGACAACTATTTCTATATTGTTTTCTGTCATTGCCCTTCTGTTTTCTGCCCTTTCATCTTTCTCAAACCAAACCAGTCAAAACTTCTGCTTCAAAAGCGGAAGAACCCATCTTTTGCCCAACTTTCTCTATATAAATACAATGCCAGGCTGTCAAATTAGGCCAGCTATTCCTCTTCATTTCCTATTAATATGTGAAGTCCAAAGGTATTCTATTGTATGCGTTTGAAGAATGAATTAACAAGTGAAGCACAACATTTTTTTCCCAAACTGCAGGGATACATTTTTAGAGCAATGTGAAAGGATTTAGATGTGTGACTTCCAATTACCTTAACGGCAGCCATCTGCTTCAACATCAATTCATCACACTGAAATTTTACCCCACGATGTACGTAAGTAATGTAGTAATGTAGCAATTTACAATAGGCCATCTTTATCAGCCAAGAACTAAGAAAGAGTATTTTTGAAAGATAAAATATTTTGCATTTATTCTACCAAGGCCTCCATATGAATATTTATTTTGTCTGCAATAAAATCAACAAACAGCAAAATATGTACCACAAACCTCCCTCCTTTGGCCCCTGTTTCATTTTCACTGTAAAAATAATAGGAGCATGTATTTAAATTTGGGGGAATCACACAGTAAAGGATACCATTTCAGATTAGTTTCAGATAATGCCTGACATCTGAAATTAAAACACTTCTCTCAGCTTTTCTCCAATAAACATAGCAGGCTGTACCTTCAACAGCAGATAAAAACTCACCTTATTACAAAGTCATGGCTATCAATCTCTTTTCCACATCCACTATCCAGAAGGATGCCAGAATTCCCAACAACTGCGCAGGTTTTAAATCGGCGATTCTTCATTGGGGAAACTTCAGGGAGAAGGCTGTGCAAATCCTGAGAAATGTTAAGGGTGCGACGTCTGTCCAGTACATAATGGATTACATCTCCTGGCTTGAAGCTGCTTTTGACCACTGATACATCTCTTTCAGCATCCAAGAATCGAAGAATGTTCTTTCTGTGTTGACAGAAAAATGCAGAGATAAACCCCAACACTCACTCCTCATGTGGAGTCTATCTAATAGTAATAGACTGTACAGTGCATATAAGATAAAGCAGAGGGCAGATAGACAGACTGAGGAGTAATTTCCCATGCTCTAGGATGGAGTTAGAGCAAAGCTGTTAGGACAGAGCTGAAATCTTTGTTACAATATGACACATAAATACTACAGTGATAGAGCTTAATGACCTCCTATAAAGGCACTGAGAGACCAAGAGAAGAAAATTTTGGAAACTGGAAGGCATACTATTTTTGAGTACTTTGCAAAACTTTGGAATAAATACATATTTGAAATACAATCAGAAACATAGTTAAATATATGAGGTATTCATAATTTAGGAAATAAATTCTTCACTACCATCTCGTTTCTCAAAAATCAGCTTGGTTTAGGAATGCTCATGTTTTCTTATAGATTCTTATTTTACTGTAAGAAAACATACTCAGTTTAGTGTAAACTTGCTCCTAATTAACTGAAGTTCAGCCAAAGTTATCCTAATTAACTTGAAATAAGAACACCCACAGTGTTTAGTATCAATTTAAGTAAAATCAGCTTAAAACCATGCTGCAAATAAAACTACGGCAGCTCAAGGTCTAGTCAAGCTGTTAGCTGAACTCATAGAAATACGAACTGTATCATTGCTTTAAATCAGGTTAGCCCACCTTTTATCTTTCTTCTCTGCAATTAACTATTAGCTGGGTTCAGACACAGACAAGATGACAGTTTAACAGGCTACCATAGGTCAAGAGAATTACAATAATGAAACAGTTGTATACTAGCAGTCCACAGCAAGTAACAGATGAAGAATGTCTGCTTAAATGTCAGCTGAAAAAGTTAACGGTAATTGTACCTGCTTACAGGGGTCAGAGCAGGGGTCTAAAAAACCCACACACTTTCAATATCTAAGATGAAAAAAGACACTTTTAATGACTGCAACCGTGTAATGACTGATATCTGCACTGGCCATGTTGAGCAGTTTTGAGTACACACTTATCCTTGCTGTAAAAAGCTGGAAAGGAATAAAGGACAGAACTGCAGGAGCCACTGGTAGCTCAGGGTTGCAAATAAGCAAAGCCTTACAAGCTGGTGTCCATCCCTGCTCTGCAAAGCATGTTTGTTTGTGAAGATGCAAAAAGATCACATGTGAACTGAAGCACATACTGAAGCAGAATACACTTAAGGAAGAGATGGGGAGTGCTGAGCTGGAGCAGGGTTCACTACGTGTTAATTCGAATGGAAAGTTCTGCCTCCGCAAATCTAACAAGACAAGAAGAAAAACAAGAACTTTGTATTTTCCACAGCTGTCAGCAGGTGAGGTGGAATTTAAAACAGAACAGACATTTTGTTGAGTAAGAGAATGCTATTTTTACGTAATAAGCTTTTAGAGCAGAACTTCCTTAGAGGAGATCAAAACAGGAAAAAGATAACTAGAGATGCCACTAGCAGTTGCAACACCAACTCAAGAGACATAAAGGGGAAATAATCCCTCACAAGTAAAAAAGAATGAACTATAGGAACACTATTCTCATCAGCCAACTCTTGTGTCACTGCCTCAAGAGGAAAGACTATGTCTGAACCTTGCAACCAGTGATATAAAATACCCTGAAACTGATCTTATAAGCCACAGAGGAAGTGAAACATGATAAAAACACTTTTTCAAGTGTTTCTTCTTGTTTATTAAAAAAAAAAAAAAAAAAAACGGAGAGGGGAAAAAAGAAGAGGCTGTCTGGGCCTGCCTGTTACAGCTGTCATGTATGAATGAAGCCGCTTCAGAGCAAAGACAGCTTATGCTGAGGCATATGAGGGACTAAGAATTATGGAGCAGGACAGACAGTGTTAAAATCCTGAGTGTCTAAAGCTTTTGATAAGGCCAGGCAAAAGGAAGATGAAGACTTCACTTCAGCCTGTAAGTTGAAAGAATCTCCATGGCTTTGTTAAGCTTCATTTTGTGGATACTCTGCAACAGATACAGAAATTACTACAAGATGGAAAAGAGCAAGAAAGAAGGAATTGGCCAATCTAGAAGTATTACAAATTACTAAAATGATTCATTACCTAAGAACAGAGCTACAAGAGCTGTGGCAGCAAAAGACGAGATGAAGGCATCAAAAGTTATCAATAGCATCAGCTGAACTATCCAGATTTACTTCACATTGTATTAAATAACTGAATGGGGAAATTTTGCTTCAGCTAATGCAATTAATTTGTTTAATGTTCATAAGTTTGGCAATATCAATGTGTGTTAGTTTACAGTGTTTTATGCAGATGTGTAAGCAAACCAGCAGCCTACGGAGGGGAGTAGTTTCTGGTAATCTAGTCTAGTTTATTCTGAGTGTAAGATAAGCATAACACTTGCTAAAGCAACAGAAGGAAGCCATTGCTAAGACCAGTTTCAGCTGGTCTTGCGGTTACAGAAGCAACTAATTGGGCCAAAGGTGATGAGAGCATCGTGAGGAAGACTTCTTACTTCATCCCAGAGACCCTAGCCCAGGCCCACCAGAGAGCAACACGCAGGTGCTGAAGGGAAGAGACTTACAAGTTCCTGGAACTAATTGTAATACATGCCACCTATCCTTGGAAAAAACATGAATATGTAATGATACAAGAGATAAAAATGAGCCTTTTGGAAAGGTAGAGTTGAGCCACAGAGGAGAAATCCCCTGTGAAGCTCCCAGCGCTGTAAATAAAATATTCTTTGCTCCACAGACTTTGTCCCTGGCTAAAATTGATCAAGTGAGCTTGTTTCTCACAACATGCACTATGACGTGAGGTGACCACAAACGAGACTCAAAAAGCCAAACAAACCTTGAAATATACAGAATCCTGGGGCTCTGCATAAAAAAAGTCACATGTGATCACAAGATTCACTTTAGTAATTTGAAGCACCCGTTCCCAATACCTAGAATGAATAGTCCTAATACTGTTTCTGTTAGTAAAGAAGTAGCAACATTTGTGCATGAATAGAGTGTCTTGTGTATTATTTTAAAACGTAAGAGGAAGGCAGTGAAGTTATGCAAACAGTGCCAAGAAAATTAAAGTGCTTTGGCTTCCGTTACTAATTTGGTTACTTACAGTAAAAGCTTAATTATCTATGTGCTCACACAGGCTTACTTAAGTCCTCCAAAGGGTTTCAAGTGGACCTGAATTAATCAGCCACTTATTTAACAGAGCTGAGATTTCTAAATGTCTAAGGGATTTATCTTTCAATAAAATACTGAGATGGGCAAAAGTCTCTGAATCTTAGTATCTTCTCATCCGTTTTCTTATCTGAAGCTGTCAGTAGCACATTCAATTAAATGTATGCACGGCTGTTACAGTACACATAAGAATCCTTGTATAAGAGATGTGAAATAATGCTAACATGATATTTTAAATGATTAATTTGACTGTATCCAGGTATTTTTTAATACTGAAAAATATACAATTAAGAATGCAGAGTTCATGTTATTAAGTTCCTCTGTGCTACTGACTAATCTGAACCACAGGGATAGTAGTACTTCCCATTTTCTTTTAAGAGCTGAGAAAAAAAAATTACCAAGGCATATGACAAAAACTGAAAGTACATACATGAGTGTCTCAGTCAGTCTCGATGCTGGTTAATAATAAGAACTTGTTTAAACCTCTGTTCTGTCCCACAAAGAACATTGGAAATAGTACAAGGTTATTCTGCTTAAACAGACCTGACAAAATAATTTAAAATAAGTGCTAATGCACATCCAGCTCTATATAAAATTCAAAAGTAAGCTGTTAGAAGAAGAAAAAAAAACAGCATGACTTTTAATAAACCTTGAAGCAAAGGTGTTCTGCAGCCTTAAGCTAAAATGTGTAAAGAGGCTGTTTTATTTGAGGTGGTCTTCAAGCTTTTTTTTGATAAATAAAACTGTATTAAGGGTGTTGCCTGAACCCTCTGTGGAGAGGCAGATGTGGCTTCCCCTTCTCTAAAGCCAAGCAGATGTGTGCAACATGTTTATGTGACTAACAGAAACATGGTGTCACTATCTGTGGTCGACCTAAGGTTCTACTTTGGTAACCAGAAACAGATGTTCATAATATTTAAATACCAACTACAACTCCCAGTTATCTGATAAAGTACATTAAATGGACAGCATTGCCTCTGAAAGCTTTCCAAATATTGTAAATACGTATTGCTCTGGGGTAACATGGTGACATTCTTCTGTTTATGCACATTTTTCTGGTTTTATTTTGTACTGTAGTCTTTGCACTACGTGACTATTACATGAGCAAACTCTTCCTCACCTGCCTTAAGCCTGTGTGGATTAAAGAAAGAAACTAAATCACTTAAAGACTTAACATTACAAATAAGTGTATTATTTTTAGACATCGTCAAGAACACTGAAATATGACCTCCAACACTTTCCCTGGGAAAATCATTCCTTTTGAACAAGACAATGACACATGCCCTCGCTGCTGGGGTATCTGGACTTGTCTTGACCCCGGCCATTATAGGACACCCCTGAAGTGCATTCTCAGTACCCTGGAAGCTGGGCTACCTCACAAGCAACCACATTAGAAAACAGAGAACGACTAAGTGATTACCCAGTCCACACTCTGGCCCCACTGAGTATGTACCTTTATGTTCATACACAGGCTGGGCTGGAACAGTCTTTGAGAAGTCTGGTCTAGTGGAATGTGTCCCTGCCCATGGCAGGGGGTTAGACCTGGATGATCTTAAGGTCCTTTCCAATCCTAACCATTCTATGATTCTATGATATATCAACCCCAGTCTATGTCTATCTAATATATTCGAACAACCTCCTGTGGTGGGCAAACTCCCCATGAAGCCTATGTCAGTGCTTCCCTAGCCTTACCAGCAGCACAGTAATGCTCATGCTAGCTCTGGTCTTTCCTACAGCAAATGAAGACTGTTCTTGTTCCTTATACCTTGCCTTTGGACAACAGACTATTCCTTACTCTTGGCACTACCCTTCATTTACTTGAGGCTAAGAAGCCATTCAATTTTTTTTTTTTTTATTGGACAGGTCATGTGCTGTAGATCTCTGTCTCCACTTGTTGCTCTCCTGAAGACTTCCTCTGACTGATTCACACAGGTCTTTAAACAACTTGATTTTTTAACTCTAGCAAGTCTAGACACTGATTTGCACTCCCCATCTGGAAACTCTCATCTTTTGAAATAACCAAGAACTACAACCTAGGTAAAGCATACTTTTAGCCAGCTAAATTAGTTTAATTAAAAAAAAAAAAAAAGAAAAAAAAAAGAACAAACTACGTGGTAACACAAGGTCACAGCCTGCCCTTGCAGATGGCTGGCTTTAGTCTGACTGAAAGGGAGTTTTAAGAAAACCCCTTCAAGGGAAACAGCATTTAGAATCATAGAATAGTTAGGGTTGGAAGGGACCTTAACATCATCTAGTTCCAACCCCCCTGCCATGAGCAGGGACACCACACACTAAACTATGTCGCCCAAGGCTCTATCCAGCCTGGCCTTGAACACCTCCAGGGTTGGAGCATTCACAACTTCCTTGGGCAACCTATTCCAGTGCCTCACCACCCTCACTGTGAAGAACTTCTTCCTTAGATCTAATCTAAACTTCCCCTGTTTAAGTTTAAAGCCATTACCCCTTGTCCTACCACTACAGTCCCTAACAAAGAGTCCCTCCCGAGCATCCCTGTAGGCCCCCTTCAGATACTGGAAGGCTATTGGAAGGCATAGAATAGTTTGGGTTTGAAGGGGACTTAAAAGGTCACCTAGTCCAACCCCCAGTCTGGATTTGTTAAAAACATGCCTAACTTCAACTAGCTGTGGAAAGGTTCCCGGAATTCCCCAACCCATGGAGGACCCCACAAACGTAAGTTCCCATTCCAGCCCTTCTCATGCCCTTCGGTGGGCATGCAAAAGGAAAAGAGGGCTTTTAAACAGAGCGTGACTCAACTACTACTTAGCATACGAAGGCGAGTTATATGTTACCTTTTCATGAAGTTAAGCAATTTAGAGTCTAAAGAAAGGAGTCAAAGGAGTTAATCACACCAACTTGCAGTGAACACTGACTTTTCAGCTGAGGAAAGGGTCTAATGAGGCAGAAACGCCTTAAGGTTTATTATAACTAAACCAAATTAGAGAGGCCCAGTCTGCATGCCTTAAAGACAAAGAAACCCTGAAGGAAACAGTGCAAGTGGCCTTTTTGTACAAAAAGTTCAAAAGCTTCACAGCAATTGTACTGCTCCAATGCCAGTTCAGTATTTACTGCTTACACTTCACAAAGTTATCATAGCTGGTTTATATTAACTTAAAAGATGAACAGTGATAATAATCTGAGCCTTTCTAAGGAGGAAGTTGCACATTTTTTATGATGCTGTTAACATCTTCAGAGTTCTCACACTTTTCTGACAGGAAATTTCCACTCATTGAGTTCACTGTTACATTGCAGAGAGATAAATGCACCTTCAACACTCTTTTTTGCCTTCCTGCAATTCACAACCTTCATCTGCTTCTTCCAGCATAAATGCCCACATTTAATCAAAAATAAGGGGAAGAGGAAAGTCACATACTGAAACGTCACAGATGTGCTGGCATCAGCCCTGTGTGAAAGGCTTCCTCAGACAGGTTTGTAACATCTCAGCCAAATATCTCCTTTCTGAGAGTATGGCCTTCAATACAACTGAAATTTCGTGATGTCCATAACTGGAAAACCTTCACATTGCTACAGACCTTAAGATCTAGTTCTAACCCCCCTGCCATGAAGGAGCTTTTCCACTCCTTGACTCCTACCTGAGCCTAACCTTGCCAAGAATTCATAGGACTTTTGAGGCTGATAGACTAGTCACTACCCTGAACAAAAGCGAGATGGCCAGAGATGATGCCCATGGTCAACAAAGCAAATAGCAAAGCATAATCCTGCTGCCAGCCAATGAGATGCAGACGTAACACTGATCAACAGTCCTTGCACAAAGCAAAACTCACTATCAAATATCTTCTATGTTTTAAAATTGCTAATGTGAGTGTCAAAATAACACCCAAAACCAGCTGCCATATATGCCATTTATTGTAAATTTTATGAAATAACTTTACACTGTACACTAATGGTTTAACAAATTATTTCTCCACTGCTAAGAACCAATATCTTTTTATACATTATTCAACAGGCGCTAGGTTTTTTTTTCTTTCATTCTTACTGTTTTTGCTGTTACCAACCTCACACCACAAGAACATCACTGTTCACATTTACAGTTGCAGTAATAGAGTATGAATCATCTTCACAGTCTACACAGTGCATGTAATGTACTTTGGAGGGCTGAACAGTTAGCTTAACCATGAGAATACTCTGGGAGATTGCTAGACACAATTGAAGTTAGTCCTGATGATAGGTTTGTAAGTGTAAAAATATTTACAGCTAAGATGCTTCTTACTGCTGTGACAGGGAAGAAAGGCATATAGCAAACTGCCTGTAAAAGTGAAAGAATTGATTAGCCAACATCAGAGTGCAACAATTACCATAGGGGACTGCTTCTCCAGGGAAAAGCATGCCAAACTTCTCTTCCTCACTGCCGAGTACCATAACTGAGTATGCTATGAACACTAGCAAAGAGGATTTCTGGAAAGAATACGACTGTCTGGTAGCAGTGATTCATTTCACACAGTTCATGTAAAATTCTGGCCCTTAGTCACACAGTCGAAAGTTTTTTACTGGTTCAGTGAAAACACCTGCTCTCTGTCCCAGTGTTCATGATGGTATAGCTATTTCATCTCAAAACACGACTAGCAACATGGACATCTAAATAACCTCAGCATTATGCTCTCTTCTGTACAGAAAAATCCTTATGCTGATAGAGTGAAAGCTTGACTGCTTAAACCAGTGTACAAGATAAATATTTTATTTCATTGTTCTACGGAGACAAAAAAAAACCAAAACAACCTTCACTGTACAATTTTGTAAAAATACCACATAATCACATCATCTGTTTAAGAACATGTTAGTAATTTATAAAATGAGAAAACTTTCCCCAATCCAACAATAATGAAAAAATAGTTTTGAAACTCATTATTTTAGTAGATTGAGATGATACAAATGTTGTAACAGACTTAAAAAAATCTAAAGCATTCTCTACTGGTTTGCCACTTTGTCTGAATGATGTATTTTGCTTTTGGAGCAGGTAAAAAACGAGCAAAACACAAGCTTCATTTTCTCTCAATTATAATCAAGAAGTAATTGTAATATTTTCACTTGTTTGATGTTTGGCTTGAGCAGAATCATGAATTTTCATGATTCTGAAATATGACACTGAATTTTTCAACAAAATGACTGAAAAGAGTTATCTGTCTCTTCCTGTAGTCACTCAACGGCTTTCAAATCAATTTACTTCACAAGTAAATTCACAGCATGCTATTTTCTCCTGTTTGTCAGAACCATAAGCTATGATCTGGAATTTCAGTGGTATTAGTCTGAACTTACTCTGTATTTCTCCATCTTAAACTGGCAGTTAAGTGCATACAAATTTTGAATACTGTTACTGATACAGAAAATCTGCTTATCTTTCCTGGACTGCCTTGGAGCAGAACTTAGCCTTTATGGAACAACCATACACTGGTCAAACAGGCTACATCAGAAGTGACGGTCCCAGAAGAAACAACATTCCTGAGCTGCACCTTAGGGCGATCACAAGGCCTTCACCAGTAGGAAACCCAGGTGCCTTGGGAGCAGCCAAGTGCCCAAAGACCCCTTAGTGATTTCTGCTAAAAATAGTTATTTTCTATCATTTTTCACAGAATGTGATGTTCCTGGCTCTTCATGCTGCCAACCCATGCTCCATACATTTCTCTCACTGGTCACCTTCCCAAATAAGACAGGGAAAATATAATGACAATAAAAAACACTAAAGGCTGCTGCTTCTCAGGCCCCAAGGTGAGCAGACCCACTGTAACTACTAAGACACGCCAGAACAATCATTCACGTTAACTCTGCTACTGTTTTTTCCTGCCTCAGCATGACCTTAAGGCTCTTTTCACCCTCTCAGAATTTAGGAAAAAAACCTGCATAAGATACGGCTACTGTCAACATGTGACCTTATGACTTGGGCCAGCCACAGACAGGGTTGGATTCACAGCACTTGATACCCTAGCTTTTAACTCCTTAAGTTCCCTTTGTAGTTAAGGGAGAAAACTTGGTATGTCCAGGGTACTTCCACCTGTTCTATTGCAGACCTTCAGGATGAGAGGAAATCATGTCCTAAAAGTGCCAGTTTCTCACCACTGACTGCAAGAGAGTTCTAGAGAGTTCTAGAGAACTCAAATGTGGACACGCGTAATACAGATACTGACTGCATGGGTCTGATTGACACAGCCAGATGAAAGCATTTAATTTATTCTTATGAAGGATGGCTTGACTTTGGCGTCTCATGTTGTTTATTTGCATTTAACACTGAACTCTATATACAGTTATAAAACATCTATCTGCAACCATAAATCAAACGACTGCTTTCCAGACCACAGGAATTATAGGCATTGTAAAATGAAAAGGATTACAGATAATATGTAATGAACTGCTTTTTATTTAGAATGCTCACCTTATTTCCATGACCAAAGAAGAATTGATTTTCCAACCTTCTACAGCATGCTGGAAGATTGAGGAGCCACTCTTCCGAATTATCTTATCAGAGCTATTGATCATTGATCTACTCAAACTCAGTTCACCATCTCTGCAATGCAATACAGAAAAGACACAATTACATCAAGGCTAACTCTGGTTTTAAGTAATTTATGTCACAAGCACCAGTGATAGACACATTTATTCACAACAAAAAGAAGGAATTGTCTGTTTGCCAGAGCAAATAAACTACACCTGTGAGAAATATATGGGATATCTATAACTAATACTTGAATATGCAATTTAAGAGCTTATTTGTATTTATAATGAAATAGGCATAACAGTACACTCCAAATTGTGACCATTGACCCACACTTTACTATGTTTGTGACACAGATTCGGAACTTCCATGTCCCACATTTCCAGTACTAAACTAAGAAATAAGTGTTAAAGTTGCTTTTGCTCAGCAATTGTTCATGTTCTATAATAATGGCCTAATAGACTCCCTTTTCCTCCTATTGATACTAAGAGACTTTCATGCACAGAAGACTGGAGTTTAGCAGCATATAAACTACAAAATTACCTCAAGACTTCCTGAAACTTTTGTATGCATACATCTAAGCAACCTCAGTTGTCTTATCCTCTTCATCAGTCTTAACATAGTCATAAATTTTGGTAAGGTAAGCTTAAAAAAAAAACCACAGTAAGCTGTGGGTGATGATCACTGAACATGTGGTAAGGTATCATAGTTTTAGCAGAGAAGCTAGAGCAACACAAGCACAACTTATAGTGTTAGGTCTAAAATCTGGGTTTAGCTCCATAGGTTTCTATTGTCTTCCATACCATTCCCACTTGGATGCCAAAGCAACATTCAGTTGAGTTCAAACACAGCTGTTAACCATTCTACCACACAGAACATCTTGTATCGGTCGTGCAGAAATATATATAATAGTAACATACAGAAATCTCTTTCTCTGTTAAATATGTGTGCTCCAAAATACTGCCAGTAATAGTAACTTCATTTAGTTTGCACATAGAACTTTTGACCAGCCACTGAAACAACAAAATAGAAAAGATGCGAGTCTGTAAGCTTCCTACGGAATCACTGACCCTTATTTCCCTGTGACTGTAAATTCTTAAAACAACTGGATCCTTGCCCTTAGAAAGAGCTACAGCAACATTACTGTTGTGTATACATACATATATATAAAAGTATTAATATTTGCTAAATTATATAACAAACTAAATTCAAGATAACCTGAAATGGGACATTAATTAAGCTAAATTAACAAAACTGGTAATATGTAGTAATTTTCAAGAAGTGCTGTGATTGCAAAAGCCCTAAAGCTAATAAACTAATATTCTACACCTCATCAAAAACAACCCAGCATTACTAGCAACGCTTTCCCTCCCTCACTCCCTCTACATTAACACTCTGCAGCACTGACATTGCACAGACTCGTAGGTAAGACTGCCACCTACCGAAAAGCTTACACCTTCAAGTAACCGTGTAGGTACAAGATCTATATGCAAATTACAAAAATCACTAACTTGAGGACATGGGAGGATGCTGCACAAGTCTCTAAACTCAAAAACCAGAACGTAGGTAATACTTTTTGCTATTTTAAAATGTTTTATTCCTTAAGAAAATTCAATAATGGTTGTAAATATATTTATTACTTACATTTCCTGCATAGATGCATAGAGTTTACACATCTAAAGGAAGATTACCAAAATACTCCCAGGTAAAGTACTCAGTCTAGAAGCACTACAGAGACGTCTCCAGTTTACGCTGGGTTAAACAATATCTCGTAGGCACTTGAACAGTGACACAACTGACAAAACTTAACAAAACATGCTGCCAACACCTAAAGCACCACAGCCTTTGAAATATGGTTGTCTTTCATATTCACAATTTATATCTGCAGTGACCTACAGAATTTGCAGTAAAATCACATTAAATTATGTTGTCAGGAACTAAAAGGAATTCCTAGGCACCTTGTGTTAAAGTTCTACAATGAACACAAAGGTGTTCACTTACATGCTCCTCCCCCTTTTATTGGTATTGTTTTGTTTAATTTTCACTTAAAGTAACATTAAATAAACTAACACATAAAAAACTAAATTTACTCCAGAAAATTATTCTTTGTGTAAATAACTGTGAAATAAATTTGGGCTACTTTGTGTCTTCTACAATCACTGCAGAACCTCTCTGATGCAAATGAAAGACTGCCATAGTGTGACAGCAACTTGTGGCTGACAAGTGTCAATGTTCATTCAGAATTACATTGCCTCGGTGACCAATCAGACCAGTATAATAAGACCATATCATCTCCTAAAGACAGTTCATAAAAAACAAGTAACTGTTTTCAAGTATATTCCATATCAATAGAAGATGACACGGCATTCCACATAGTAAGCATGTTTCACTACTTCCTTAACCTTTAAAGGGACATTACTATCTAGAAGGGCATGCTTTCACAATTACTGTCCTAGCATACTTTGCTATGAGAACACAGTGCATATTTTGGAATTGCACATTGTCCATTTTTGAATGTCTGGGATTCACCTGGGATTAGTGTCACTAATAATAACCATCTCACACATTCACAGTTCTGCGTTACTGGTACTTCTGGAAGTAAAAAAATCCCACAGGAAATTGACTTTGCTTGCTCATGTGGCCAGTCAAAAACAATTAAATGGCATGAACCCTTCCCTCAGGAGAAAAACAAGTGTAACATCTATAGTGGCAGCAGACACTAGCAATATATTTAGGGGTATTTTTCCTACTTCATTCAGTAATGGATGGGATGACAAGCTGCGAAAAGAAACTATATTCCAGTATCTTTAGCCAAAGCACCAGACTACACAAGAAGTCTCACCTGTACCAAAGTAGAGATATCACTAAATGACCTGGCGGAAGTACATTACAGCTATGTTTCAAAGTGTTGTTAAGGATATACATATTTACAACTAAATACACTTATTTTGTCTCATTTAGTATTAAATCATCAGTTCGTTTTAGTACCTTTTAGATCCTGTAAAACAATGTATCGTTAACTGAAGGGGGCTTTTCTGTTTTTGCAAATATATATGGATTCTACCTAGCAACTAATTTCTGAATCATTTTAGTAGCTACCTCTAGTTTGACAGGCAAGAGTACATATTAAGAAATATGGGTATCTTTAATGCTTAATCTCCCTTACACACTTACTTCCACGTGTATTTTTGCACACCTATGACCCCAAAACTTCTGTACATCTCGTAAGCATGCAAATACCACAGCATCATGGCAGGAACTGGGCTTACACCCAGGCTGCCCACGAGGGAGTTCCCAGTAAGCTGTGAACATCTTTTAACACCAAGGGAAGCAAACACCGCATCATTAACCATGCACATAGACAGGAGAGGCCAGCCCCTGGTCCCTGCTCCGGGGAGGTGCCAGGGCCACTGCCGCGCAGCTGTGCCCTGCTGCCCGCATCCTGCTCCTCCAGCAAGGGCTGGGGAAAAGAGATGCACTTTCTGCCTTTAATACTGGGAACCGAAGGGCACGAAGTAGGTTGTAACTGCCCCATCTTTCTTCAGGCCCGTACACACACTTACAACCTCCTTATGCTTCCTCTTCAAATTAAGACAATGGCTTACACCAAGGACGAATTTCCCTCACAGTCGGTTTGCACCAACAAAATGTGAGCCCCTTCCCAGCGTTTGCTGATTTCACTAAGCCACAGCGGAATTTATGCACCCCTCCTGTGAAAACAAAAGACAGTTACACCCCTCCAAGGGAAAACAGGCTTGCTTGAAAACAGCATCCTCACAGGGCAGCTGCAAGTTGGGAGAAAACCGATGAATACAGGAAGGCACGTACACAAATACAACCCTCAACACAGATAGCCGAGGTGCAAACAAAAACATGGCAAGGGACTTTTTGTCTTGTATTTTCAGCCGAAGACAGGAGTGAGGAAATATGTATCAGGGTCTCGGCAAAAGACCAGGAGTTTCCAGTGGAGGAGCCTCGGGACCTAAGAGGGGCGTCCCGCACACTCGCAAGGCAAACATTTCCAAGGAGCACCTAAGTTAAGCACAGCTCCCAGGCAAACTTCAAGGACAGAGAGGCAGGAGCACCTGGAGCTGCCAGCGGCCGCGCACCTCGGCACGCTGTCCTCTAAAGGCTCCCAA